TTAGATATATTTTTCATCAGTTTTACCAAAATAACTTGATTTAATTGTAATAAAAATAAAATGTCCAAAGGAATAAATCCTTCGAATCTGCCTATTCAGTTTCTGTTGGAATGTGAAGGGTTAAATGAAAGAAGCTCGTCTCTGCGAGTTACTGTGAAGAGAGGAGCTGTTGTGCGGTCCAGCTATGAATTCACAGAGGGTCCAGCTATAGTAACTGAACGAGAGAGTAATGTCAAATGACAGTACAATTGACCAATCATATCTTCCCTCTAAATGGGTGGGTGTTATTATCGCGGACTTTATGACAAGTTCTGCCCGCTGTGAAACTTTTCTTGTTTCCATAGCAACAACAACTTCCTGTCAACAGCGTAAACTCGCCTTCAAAATAAAAGCATGCCAAATTACACTTAAGACATACAACTGCAACGAAAGTAACAAACACAATGCAATATCCTTTTCAATTTCAAATAACACAAATAGGGTTATTTACAGGTGTTTTTTTTGTTTCGTAGAGGGTCGCTTTCATTGATGCGTTTTGCACCCGGGCCGTTGTTTTGATATTCCGGCCGCTGAAGTATACACTGTGACGTAATAACTCGAGGGAAGGGGTGGGGGTCAGAGGGCCTAGGTATAAAAGTCACGGCTCGCCACTGGTGTTTTGTATGACAATAGAGACACAGCAGGCCACCTGTTGTGTGCTGTGTCTGTCTCTCTCTGTTTACCTGTGTCTCTCTCTCTGTCTCTCTCCCTCTCCGTGTCAATTCTATATGCCAACTTTTCTTGTTTCTGCCGCTGCGTAGCATGTTGTAACAACGTCGAATTAGCAGAATAGGCTATTGTATTGTTAAAAGTATAAATATTGCAGAACAGTATACATTATATGATTGAATTAAGTTCAGTGATGAATTGATTTTTTATTCACTTAAATTATGTTTTTTATTTAATGCCAGTTTAATCTACAGTAGGCCTAATATATTATACATAGTATATTGCTTCTCAAGAACAAGTCCCTCAAAAGTGTACTAAAGTAGAGTACATGAGTTAAATTGTAAGCTATTTAGTTACATTACACCACATTATTACTTTTTGCATGTCATCATAATTTATGTTTAGCAGTGTGGATGTATGGTAACTGCATGAACATATATTATGAAACAATTTTTCATTAAAAAAAGCACATCATTAAAATGATAAAAAATAATGTAATGGTTCAACTTTCTACTTACATAGTCATGATGGTCAGTGGCCCCTGAAGGAAAAGCATCACATGTTATTATGGGTTGTGTGGCTCACCTCAGAGAAATTCATTAGTCATTGAGCAGATACGATGATGTGGCTAAGCCTGCTGACTCATTGTTCCTCTTCTTTGTTTCAGCCATAGACTGTCCTGTCCCTGACATCTGAATCAACATTTAGAATCCCTTCTCTTACTCTGACATATGCCTCTCTCAACCACTCGGGTTTCTTTTGTTATTGTTGAACAGGAAATATTAGGCCTCAGATGGACTGCTTAATAGAGACATCCAGCCAGTGGCTGTTCCTGCCAGCAATAGGAGCATATGGTCACGGTTCTCTAGTTGGCCAGGGTAAACTGTCCATCCTATACAGTATCTGGCTGTTGGGCAAATAATGTCGAGTGGGTATATTGCCAGTAAGACTAAACAACCATGGATCCTACACAATAACATGTTATCAATTGCATTTCGAAACATAGTCACTTACAGATTTGTCTTTGCAGCTTTTAACACATAGTTAACCTTGTACATTGTACGTGTTAGTTTGACTCCTTCCACCCACCTCCCCCTTTAAGGATGTTTGTAGCCTTTATTTAACCAGGTGAAAGCCCCTTGAGATCAAAAGATCTCTTTTTCAAGGGTGACCTGCAGGATTTACTTATGATTAGAAACATATTTTTGATATGTCAACATCAAAAACAAAATATGTTTCCCTTGAAACATATTTGGCAAGTTTCAGTTTATGAAAGAATACGTTTTAACAAACAAGGCTGAACTAAACCAAAACAGTAATATCACAAGCTGGAAAGCAAAACAGGAAGCTGAAAGAAGAAGAAATGCTCAGCAGAGCTGAAGGAGAACCAGAGTTGAGGGATAATTCTGGTTTACATCCGCTTCCACCTAACAAACAATCATTGAATACCTTATAAATATCCTCAGTGCAGCTGTAAAGCTTTTTAAAGGTCCTATCATAGGTAATCCGATGTTCAATGCCAAAAAAAAGAAGATAACAACTAAGAAGACAACATAACAACTCACCATGTGGAGAGTTTTGGAGCTCGCTGTACACTGTGTCCGTGCCTTTTTTTGGTGGGACTGTAAAAAACAACACATGCTTGAACATCAAAAGACAATCTTGAGTAGTACTGTTCTTTTTATTTATCATACGCAGATATCTAAAAGTAGACGGGATGTGCCCATTCTGTAACTGCCATCTTCAGCCCGGGGACTTTGAGCACAGCCCTAACGCAGAAGGGGCCGGTATCAGAAAGCAGCCTGGCAATTAGCTCAACCCTTCCTGTTTATAACTTCTGCATAGCTTCTGGAAATCCCAACAGTTATCTTTGCAGTTACAAACACTTGGATATGTATTAATTATGGGTAATTATGCCCCTCCCAGGAAGTGTGAGTTTTAACTGTAAAAGAATGTGGGCAAAGAAGAGCAACATGTTTTCTACAGGGAGGTTTGTAATGAAATAAGAGAGACTGTGAAGACTGGTTAAAAATAGAAGGACAAAATATTATCAAAAATAAAGTTTGGAGGGTGAGAAGCAGAAAGATGGGAGATGAAGGCTGGGTAATGGATTAAAAAACCTTTTTTTTATCACCTCTGGCAGGATCCAGTGGACGGGGATGCACCACCTCAGTGTATTCAACATCAGGCTCGTTGGACACCATGCTGCTCTCCTCGTCGTTGGCTGCACCAAAAACATGCACAAGAGTCTGTAAAACCTGTCAAACCGTCCGCATGACCTCGTTTTATTTTGATGAGGGTTTCCTTAAGGATAACAGTTCATCCTTGACCTTGAAAATAAAAGTTTGACCAAGTAAAGTTTGAGTTATTAGTCTGTTGTGTAATGGTCAGCTTTCATTAGTTAGCTAGGTCAAGAATAATATGGCTAATGTTTGCAAAATCAAGCTAGCTGATGTTATGACCAGGGCTGCACATAACTGGTGCGCAGGTGCGCATGCGCACCCACCGCCAAAAAAGGAGCACCGGATCATTTCAAAAAAGCGCATTTGCGCACCAACATTGAGAGAGACAGAGAGACATGAGAGAAGAGAGAGATAGAAAAGAGAGAAGAGAGATATTTGCGAGTTGCATAAGAACTGGTAAGACTCGTGAAGGGTCTGCTGCATGCGCTTCCTGCGGTAGTGGTCGTGTAAGAAACAACAATTTGTGGCAATTGCAAACGCTCCGGAGGGTCGTATATTCACAAATAACCCTCTCTGGAAAATCCTAAATTGTAGAATAGTTTGGACATTAAAATGCTTTTTGATTAGATTTCTAGCGAGAAGTGTATATTGTTCTTTCAGAATCTACGTCCAGTGGATGTGTAGGATCTATAGTTTGATAGATATTACAAAGATGATTTGGGGTCTCGCCAGGAGAACGTGTACTATGTCTTTACGCAACATCCATGTAAAGTTGGCGTCATTTCCTGTCTCGAAGTTTTCATAATAAAACCAGAAGTATTCCCCTCACTGGTCAAACGATTATACAGTGATATCTGCATTCCTCATCCACTAAAAAACATCAGTTTATCTTTGTTAATTACACAATATTGATTGGTTTAAATTGTGTACAATGCTTTTATGTTTTTAACCTTCGATTCGGAGAAACAAATCGTTTTTTCGGAGTTTAGACAGTACAGAGTTTCCGAAGACACTAGACTACCCAGAATCCTCAGCTACCGTTTGGGACTACAAACTTGCTTTTCATTACAAACCCCGTGATTAGTCCTCCAGCTCTGTAATTGGATGTTGGAGTGGTAGTGCGACAAGGTTACGCCGAGCGTCAAACAGATCTTGGAAATGGAAGGTAACCACGGCAGACTATCCAAAACTGGACTCGAACGGGTCCAGCCCAGCTCCCCCTTCCCCCGCCCCCCCCCAGAACTACACATGCTAGCTAGTGTGTTTCGCAACATGTTCTATGGCACGTCTCTACTGGGAATTGTAGTTTTAATTGACGTTTTCGTATTTCCCATAATTAGAAGTTGCCAGTATTAAACTGTGTGCTCCCGCTGGAGGTTTAGGGGATATGAAACACATTGGTGTTATCAAATTTAATAAATATAATTAATAAATGGGTGAAAATTGCTTGTGTCCATAATGGGCAGCATTAATATACTGTACCCACATGACAGCTAAGGTCAGAAGAGCTTTATTTAACAGCTGGGCTTATGTCTGTGACCCCTCCTGTTGTTAATTGATAAGCCTGAAAAATGCACTTGTCATGGTTCAGAGGAACATTTTATAAAAATTAAGATAAGATAAGATATACTTTATTGATCCCAAGTTGGGAAATGTTTTTGTTACACAAATTCAGGGTAGGTGGTTGTCAAGTGCCAAAATAAACTGTGCAATAGACGCTAAGTACTTTGTCTGGCTTAATATTTATCTGTTGATACCCCTAAAGTTGTGTTCTTATTCAAAAGAAGACCTTAACTTAAAGTATTCTTTAATGTTTAAATAAAGCCTCATTAGTTTGTCTGTTTTGCACATCCTCCTATTAATATCTTTGGACATCCTCCACTAGCTGTTTTATCTTAGAGATCACTACAGTATCTTCTTGATATTTTCTATTCTATATTTCTATGATTGACCTTCTACTTTCCCCCTATTTTGTATGTAGGCTACTCTTAATATTTAAATGTTTTCATCAAATATTACATATTCAACAACAAAATTCAATAACGTACTTTAACCACTTAGGCGGTGCGGGTTAAAAAAACGCAGTGCTCTAGTTAAAACATAAAATATTAATGTGTATACAACATTCTGATTGTAAAACATCACAGACAGAAAGGTATATCCATCATTTAATGTAAGCAATTGATTGTGTTCCATAGATGTGGCTCCCCATCACCCAAAGCCCTGGACTCATTCTCTCAACTCAGATTTACTTATTATATTCAAAGAAAATCAGTAATATCTTTAAAATACAATAGTTCATTTCTATCAGCTGTGCACCGTTATTGTGAAATTATAACCTGAATCTACAGATCTGTCTATGTAAAGCATGAGTATAA